AATGTGCAGCAATCTTAACATGTATAATGATATTACTCATGATACTCTGTAACGCAATCTAATAACATGTTAATGCCAAGCTATGTACTGAATAATGCACTACCAAAATAAAGAATTATAAAAATAAAAAAACATAGACATTTGTTACTGCTTGACTGTATCACACTATATATTTATCTATCTATCTCTCTGTCTGTGTGTCTGTCTGTCTATCTATCTGGATGGATCTATCTATCTGTCTATCTGCCTGTCCGTCCATCCGTCCATCTATCTTTGTCTGTAGGTCCGTCTGTCTGTATGTCTGTCTGTCTATCTATCTTTCTATCTACCTATCTGCCTGTCCATCCGTCCGTCTATCTTTATACCTGTCTATCTGACCGTATGTCTGTCTATCTTTTTATCTATCTATCTATCTATCTATCATACAGAATCCAGTGCACTCACTCATTTATTAAACGCCAACTTCGAAGCTCACAGAATTCAGCACATCTGACAAATCTTCCTGATCACTGCAGCATCTGTAAAAAAGAAGAACGGAAGTAGCTGTGTCAGGTATTGGGAAACCAATTTTGTGGTTAAACCATTGAAAAACAGATTAACCACTGAAGGTAAGATAGTGCACAGGCACTCCTGTCCCATAACAACATAATTTAAGTTTTTATGGCAGTGGGTTTGTTCCTTTTACTTTCCACAGCCAGTGTGACCCCCTATATTTGGTCACAGAATAGACATGGACATAGTATAGCAAACAGTCCATAAATGACCAATTATCCCTAATCATTAAGCACTTCATATATTGCATCCATTGCATAATATATGATTCTCTTCAACATCCCTATTCAGTCAATCCTGATATGATTTCCACAAATTTTGTTTAGGAACATACAGGATTCAGCGCACCCACTAACTCACTAAACACCAACTTCAAATTTCGCAAAACTTAATAGTTCTTTAAAAACACCTGACTTATTCATATATAATGGGGGTTTAGTTACAGTATATTCGCATACAGGTGATACTCAACAAATTAGAATATCGTGCAAATGTTAATTTATTTCAGTAATGCAACGTAAAAGAGGTCTGATATTGTTCTATGTACACTCCTTGTTTTATTGATTGCATGTAATATTCTAATTTACTGAGATTGTGGATTTGGGGTTTTCATGAGCTGTAAGCCATAATCATCGCACTTATGAGAAATCACAGCTTGAACTATCTTGCTTTGCATGTAATGTGTATATCTCATATATTAGTTTCCCCTTTTACGTTGCATTACTGAAATAAATTAACTTTTGCACGATATTCTAATTTTCTGAGTATCACCTGTACATTGCCTAAGCCTGCCACAACGTCAATGTACCCCATTCTTGGCAGGTCTTAGCAGGGGCGTTGCTTGGGCCAATTCATGCATCATACAAAATCCAGTGTACACACTCATTCACTAAACAGTAGTTTATCATTAAAGGGACACTATAATCACTAAAACAACTTAATTAAACCGTTTTGGTGTATAGATCATGTCCCTGCAGTCCCACTGCTCAATTCTCTGCCATTTAGGAGTTAAATCACTTTGTTTATGCACCCTAGTCACACCTCCCTGCATGTGACTTGCACAGCCTTCCTAAAAACTTCCTGTAAAGTAAGATCTAATGTTTATCCTTCCTTTATTGCAAGTTCTGTTTAATTTAGATTTTCTTATCCGCTGCTATGTTAATAGCTTGCTAGCCCCTACAAGAGACTCCTGTGTGTAATTAAAGTTCAATTTACAGAGCAGGAGATAAAATCGTTTAAGATAAGTTACATCTGATTAAAAGTGAAACCATTTTATTTTTTCAGGCAGGCTGTGTCAATCAGAGTCAGGGGAGGTGTGACAAGGGCTGCATAAACAAAAACAAAGTGATTTTACTACTAAACGGCAGTGAATTGAGCAGTGAAGCATGAGATGCATGATCTATACACTAAAACTGCTTCATTAAGCTAAAGTTGTTTAGTTGACTATAGCGTTCCTTTAAGCATTACATTCTTTGGCAATTTGAGCTACAGTAGCTCATTTGTGTGATTGGACTAAGTGGGCTAGTATTTGCTTCCCACGTGCATCAATGAAGTCTGGGCACCCATGATCCTGACGCCAGTTCACTGGTTGTCTTTCTGTTACAGGGTAACGCTGAAGAAGCCACGCACAGAGAGTCCGGACACAGGTCATTTCAGGAATTAAAGGTCTTTATTCTCACCGATCGGGTCTCAGCTGAACTCCTGTTCAAAAGGTCTGAGCCCCGAGCACATGGAGTAGAGGCTTTTTGTAAGCTATGCATCCCCCACCTGTACAACAATCAACAAACAGGATACATAGGATCACCTTATATGGACAGGCAACATGGCCTTTTTAGGAGAATTGAATGTGGTTTCAGTTCTTGCACATGCTCAGTACATTGATGACAGTATCTTAGCTCACCATTTTTGTTAGGTAATAACCAATGCATACCAAGAACAAGAGATGCTCTGACCCAGTCCTTTAACCATTATTATTTGGACCCATCAAAGTCACCCAGATCTTTTCACTTGCCCATTTTTCCTGCTTTCAACACATGAACTTCGAGAACTGACTGTTCACTTGCTGCCTAATATTGACAGTTGCCATTGTAACCATATACTTAATGTTATTCACTTCACCTGTATTTGACTTTAATGTTGTGGTTGACCACTGTGTAGAATATATATATATATATACAAATATATATGTATTTTTTTATTTATCTATATATTTATAAAATGCACATTGCAAATAAATATATTTCTGCTATATATCTTTCAGAAAAAAAGATTAGATTACTAAGAATTCTGATCTGCCAGTTCTCTAAAGACCTAGCTCTCAGTTCAAGCACCACTTGTTCTAAGAATAAAATAATCCCTTGTTTGAAGTCTTGGCTCAGAAAAGCATTATGTTCATATTTTTTCCTGTGTGACTGTGTTGGCAATATACTGTATGTTGAAAATAAAATCCATAATATGCCATTGTAGTTAATCACAGAGTCATGAGAACTCAGGGGGTCTATACACTTAGCCATCAGTTGTGGTTATTTTTGGAAAGACTGACCAAAACAGCAAATCTAGAAAAGTAGTCCATATTGGCTGAATTGACTTTATGTAAATCAACTATTTTAATTTGGTAGATTCTTAAGTCTCTAGAATGTATTGTTTGGAGATTAAACACTACCTTATTATTAAACAATGATATGCCAATTAAAAAACAAACAAACTAATAGACGCTCACTATAATATGGGTATTAGTAAATCTATCAAGGTTTCCCTAACCTTCTGTAGAAATAAGAAATGCAAGAAACCGCCCAAAAGTGGGATCTTGAAGTGCCATTAGTACAAATAGCCATACATGAATTACCGAGAGTATTTCAAAATGGGCAACCTCATAAAAGAAAAATAATAGCGATAAGAGTGAAAAATGCTTTAGCAATAAATGGATAGGATAAAATACATAAAGAGATGGCCCACTCACATTTTACAGAGCTGTAACTCTGCTGTAATGCGCATGGATGGTACAACCTCCTTCTTAGGATATAAGTGGGTCAGTGATGATCACGTAGTGGTAGCACAATGTACAGACAGAAAACAAAAGTAATTCCAATGGTATAATAGGTAAGTAAAATAAGAAGAGCAGAAACCTTCTGGTAATAGAAGGCCCTGGTGGTATGATCCCCACGGACTCCACCTAGGATATTCAGGATCCAGGAAGCTAGCTGGTGCAGGTCCTGTGCTGCATTAGCTGCTAAGACACCAGGACTGCAAACCATACAACCTGTCTACACATTGCGGAAGGAACCACCTACGTATTCTGCTCATTGTTCATGATGCCAACTGCCATTGGACAGTGAAGGAGAGAGGTGATCAACAGCATATTCACCTCATGTCATTTGACACATGCGTTTCAAGTTGAATTGGAAGGAGCCAATCGTACAGCCTAACATGGACAGTTACAACCTTATGAAGTATGGGAAAGCACTGGATTGGTTGAGACCATCAAGATTGATGATCTCAGCTACGGAGGCGGAGCCGGACAAAGACTTCTTCCTCTCTCCCACAGCCTCATATAATAATTAAGACTTCATTATATTGTAAGCTCTCCCAGCTACTAAATTCTGAAATGTATGGAATACATTTTCCCTTAACCTTTGAGTCTTTTGAGTAGTTATACCCACTTCCCCCAAAATGGAAGCTAATTTCTGTTCCTGTACTTGTCTTGTTGCAACTACTGATTTGTACCTATTGTAAAGCACTGTGGAATATGCTGTTTTTTCATTCTAATAATTAATATTTTAATATTTTTATTAGTGATAATAATAATTTTTTTATTGCTATTATTATTAAAATTGTGAAAGTTTTTCACACTTTCATTTCCTCACTTGCAATTTTAGTTATGTCCGCATGGTGCCACTGTTTCACAATGCTGGTTATGTACATTGAGTTGCTTATCCATATAAAGTACATATATTACTGTACAGCTATTTTACATTTTCTTTTTTTGCTGGGGTGGGGGGTCAAATGTTCAAAGCTTGACATAGACATAGAGTACAATGAAATTGATCACAAAATGATTTTTTTTTTTTACATTTCTGAGTGCTATGTTCTTAAAAACAAGCTGATCTATACACAATGTTGGCTGAACTACTTGCAACTGTACACCTGAATAACTAAAACATGTTAATTGCATTATTTATCTGGGCATACACACACACATATACACTCTCGAATCAACGCATTCCACCATTCTACATTACACATGCAGTGTACACAAGCTATTATGTCTTTGCCCAGGGATTTAAATAAATTAGGAGACTGCAGCATCACATGACAGATTAAATTTAATATATATTATTATTATTTATATAGTGCCAGCAAATTCTATTGCGATTTACAGTGGGTAAATGCAAAGATATACATTTGGGATGACAGACTGCTAAGGAACTATACAACATACAGCACGTGGCATGGCCCTACATATAGAGGACCTGGACAACAGGGGGCGCCGCAATAACTTAAGACTGCGCGGCCTCCCTGAAACTGAGGACTCCCCCCAGCAGCTACAAGAAATCCTCCTGGAAATATTAAATGAGATCCTAGGCCGAGACCACCAGGCACCCATAGAATTTGTAAGAGCTCATAGAGCCCTCCGTCCTAAGGGCGCGCCAGATAGCCCACCCAGGGATGTCATATGCTGCCTAGCGAATTTTGCCTTAAAGGAGACTATCCTTAAACAAGCACGAGGCCGGCGATCGCTCACCTACCGGAACCAAGACCTGCAACTCTTTCCAGATTTATCTGCCCCGCCTGCCCCTGGGCCGGGCTCTACCTACCTAGGCCCCCACTGACCGGGGCGACTTCGACACCCACGGGACTTGACACTATGGCTACACCCGCACCCAAATATGCACCGGCCCCACTCAACTTCTTATCCCTAAACGCTAAGGGCTTAAACTCTCCCGAAAAGAGGTCACACGCGCTACGCCTCAGTCAGAAAACTAGAGCCCATGTGGTCTACCTCCAAGAAACCCACTTTAAAACCAATGCTGCTCCGAAACTCTGCAACCATATATACACCCAAGGCTTCTACAGCAATAACCCAGATGGGAAATCTAGGGGGACAGCAATACTCCTACACAAATCCATACCCTTTGTAGCTGATTCGACCATGACTGATAACTTGGGCAGATACGTATTCGTTAGGGGTAAAATCCTGGAGGAAACCTATACCTTTGCCAACATCTACGCTCCAAACACACGACAGGACAGATTCCTCCGGGACACACTCCGGGCCCTCCACGACTTCACGACGGGCTGTCTGGTCCTGGGTGGGGACTTCAACATTGCTCTACACCCGACAATGGACGCATCCAGGGGCATTCATCGACACCCCCCCCCACACTGCTTAAAATTCGTAAACTTCGCCATCAGTACAGGCTTACAGATTGTTGGAGGGCGACACACCCGACAGCTAGGGACTACACCTTCTACTCGACCCCGAATGACTGTTACACACGCATCGACTACTTCTTTCTGCCATACTACTATCTACCCAGACTGCGGGACTCTGCCATAGGGGGGTCCATGTGGTCCGACCACGCACCACTCACAATCCAACTTACATCGCCACTACACAAACCCAAAACCACGACATGGCGGCTCCACGAAAACCTCCTATCCAACCCGCAGGTGGCCCAAGATGTACCACAAGCCCTGACAAACTACTTCACCGAGAACTTACCACAGGACACATCCCCCCTCTTGACATGGGAGGCCCACAAGTGCGTGATGAGAGGGATTCTCATCTCACACTCCTCTGCCCTGAAGAAGGCACGGGACCACACGATCCGAGAACTAACGGCCAAGATAGGGACCCTAACACAGGCCCACAAGCAAACACTAGACTACACACTTCTCGGGGAACTCACAGCAGCCCGTGAAGAACTAGCATGGACCCTGCGGCAATCGTACACTAGGGCCCTCCAGCGCACTAAATCATTCTTCTACACAGAAGGGGATAAGTGCAGCAGGTTGCTGGCCAGAATGATCAACAAAAAACGCTCCATGACATATATTGCACGCATGCGCGACACCGCAGGCCAACTACACCACATGCCAGATCAAATCGCTACAGCTGTAACCCGCTTCTACACGGACCTTTACGCGATTCCCCCCCACGCCCCTCGGGCGGACCCTAACATGGGACTGACCCGCATGAACGCATACCTCACTAAATACACTAAAACTAAACTCTCCTCGGACGCAGCGGAGGCTTTGGAGGCGCCCCTTATGGAGGGGGAACTCTCCCACAGCCTCATATAATAATTAAGACTTCATTATATTGTAAGCTCTCCCAGCTACTAAATTCTGAAATGTATGGAATACATTTTCCCTTAACCTTTGAGTCTTTTGAGTAGTTATACCCACTTCCCCCAAAATGGAAGCTAATTTCTGTTCCTGTACTTGTCTTGTTGCAACTACTGATTTGTACCTATTGTAAAGCACTGTGGAATATGCTGTTTTTTCATTCTAATAATTAATATTTTAATATTTTTATTAGTGATAATAATAATTTTTTTATTGCTATTATTATTAAAATTGTGAAAGTTTTTCACACTTTCATTTCCTCACTTGCAATTTTAGTTATGTCCGCATGGTGCCACTGTTTCACAATGCTGGTTATGTACATTGAGTTGCTTATCCATATAAAGTACATATATTACTGTACAGCTATTTTACATTTTCTTTTTTTGCTGGGGTGGGGGGTCAAATGTTCAAAGCTTGACATAGACATAGAGTACAATGAAATTGATCACAAAATGATTTTTTTTTTTTACATTTCTGAATGCTATGTTCTTAAAAACAAGCTGATCTATACACAATGTTGGCTGAACTACTTGCAACTGTACACCTGAATAACTAAAACATGTTAATTGCATTATTTATCTGGGCATACACACACACATATACACTCTCGAATCAACGCATTCCACCATTCTACATTACACATGCAGTGTACACAAGCTATTATGTCTTTGCCCAGGGATTTAAATAAATTAGGAGACTGCAGCATCACATGACAGATTAAATTTAATATATATTATTATTATTTATATAGTGCCAGCAAATTCTATTGCGATTTACAGTGGGTAAATGCAAAGATATACATTTGGGATGACAGACTGCTAAGGAACTATACAACATACAGCACGTGGCATGGCCCTACATATAGAGGACCTGGACAACAGGGGGCGCCGCAATAACTTAAGACTGCGCGGCCTCCCTGAAACTGAGGACTCCCCCCAGCAGCTACAAGAAATCCTCCTGGAAATATTAAATGAGATCCTAGGCCGAGACCACCAGGCACCCATAGAATTTGTAAGAGCTCATAGAGCCCTCCGTCCTAAGGGCGCGCCAGATAGCCCACCCAGGGATGTCATATGCTGCCTAGCGAATTTTGCCTTAAAGGAGACTATCCTTAAACAAGCACGAGGCCGGCGATCGCTCACCTACCGGAACCAAGACCTGCAACTCTTTCCAGATTTATCGCCGGCTACCCTGACCTACCGACGCGCTCTGAAACCACTCACGAGGGTCCTGGGGGCCCAGCAGATCCGGTACAGATGGCAGATGCCCACGGGACTGCTCGTCCACACGCCGAGGGGTCCATTCCTGGTCCGCACACACAGCGACTATATAGCACTGGGCACGGAGCTCCAACTGCCCGCCATCAACATGAGATGGCCTGACCCACTGGACATCTACACCGCCGCAAGAAACCCCTACCCAAGACCGGCGCTGCCGCAACGCACTAGAGGGGGATGCCAGGAGGCCACTAGGCCCACAGGTACCGCCCGTTAGAGGGCATGACTTTCTCCCCCCTTCCCCCCCACAATGCGCCCAACACCAGCCTGGCCCTCTCTAGGGCACAAATAGCCCCGTTCCAGGACATAGACGCTGTCTCCAGATATGAACTTAGCCCACCTACCGATTGGACACCCCACATTGGCACCATGTCCCCCCGCTCCACAGAACTGCACCTTATGCCGGGCGGACAGTTGCTGAGTCACACATCACGTACAGCCAGATATGGGGGCCCAGTCTGCCCCGATGGGGTGGGGCGGGTCGGGGGATGTGGCCCATGGGACTGTGGTACATGGTACTGTTCGCCAATGTTGACACTGGCCCGCTGGGAGCACCTACTGCACTGTCTCTGTGGCACACGCGCCCATGCATGCTGCAACTGCCCACCGCTTATGTGCCAGCGCATGCTATAACTATCCGCGGCGCTGCATCTCACCCGCACGTACAGGTCACGACTACCCCGCCCCCCGCTGCACACCACTGTTTCTGCGCCTGCCATCACTACAACTGCTCATCGCAGAGCAGGTACCGTGGCATAACCGCCCACACACGCCGCAATTGTCCACTGCATTACATTGACCGCTGTAAATGTGTCAGCGCATGCTCATACTGCTCCCTGGCGGGTGTATAGCCCCATATGCACGCCCGCGCATGCTCAAACTGTCCATTGCATTGTATATAACATGATATGTTTTTCCTAGGAGCTGTCCTTAGGTCTTCCTCTTCGGGGGGCTCCCCTTTGGACATGCCCTTTAGTACCCTCCCTTGCTTTATATCTGTATAATATGGTGTATGCGCCTGCTTATGTTAGACTGGTATACTGCACTACATGAACCATTGTGTATATATTGTGTATATATGTGAATGTGTATCTATGTGTAGATCTGCCAGCACAGGCTAACACAGTGCTCCTTGGTACACATGTTACCCTGCGCACACACCCGCACACGCCACTAGCACCATGGGATGGGGTACAACACGACGTATGCTCCTGCACGTCTCACGCCTGGCTATCACTCATACCACAGGGTCGGCGCACGCGCAAGTTCCCAGGGTCTAGGGGTTCGCATGCCACACTGGATAGGTGCCAGACCACGCTACACCTGGGTACAGTTCTATACGCAATATGGTATGAGCACCCGCGTACACAACCCAGAGACGTGCTGCAACCAGAGCGACACAACCCACCACCACACTGAAGGGGGAACCCACAAGGGGGTCCGTTAACCGGGACGCAATTCGGGGGGACACAGGCTTTCCAGACCACTTTTAGGGACAGAGAAACGCCACCACGGGGCTACACTGATGCGCATAGGGGGAACGGGTTGGGGGAGGAGGGGGTCCACCAACACCCTAAACACCCGCACAGTAGAAAGGGGATTACGCCCTGGGTAGGCTAGTACATCTTCCCTTCAGACAGGACAACGTCGGGACCCGGGTGCGAGTCCCTGCAGACACACAACAGGTTACAGTTATGGCTGGTACTCGACCGTACCCTGGGAGACTCGCCGCGGGGCGCGACAGCAGTTTTCACAGGTTTAAGTTACACCTATTGGTGTTTGTTTTGATCCACAGCCGCCGCTGTTGGCGGGTTGACAAGGCGCCTTCCACTCCCCGTGAGGTCGGTGTCTACTGTATAGGGGAGGTCATCCCCCACTCCGGTCTCCGGGCCGGGGGATCTCTACCCCCCTTACACCGGTGCCTCTGCTCCATTGCGAGGGCGGCCCCCTCTGCGCTCCGTCGTGTGGAGTCGTCCGCTCCCCCGCTCTGCCCCGCCTGCCCCTGGGCCGGGCTCTACCTACCTAGGCCCCCACTGACCGGGGCGACTTCGACACCCACGGGACTTGACACTATGGCTACACCCGCACCCAAATATGCACCGGCCCCACTCAACTTCTTATCCCTAAACGCTAAGGGCTTAAACTCTCCCGAAAAGAGGTCACACGCGCTACGCCTCAGTCAGAAAACTAGAGCCCATGTGGTC